ATTAAATTTATAGTTTTTAATGAGGCTTCTCATTTAATGGTGCTTATAAGTAGAAGTTATAGTTCAGTCATTACTAGCTATTATTTATCAAATAGCTGTCAGATGCTGATGTTTCTGTTGTAATTTGGCATTATGAAGTTAACCAAGCAAATATTAAGTTTGGTGTTTGTTTGATTTTTACTATGTTTCAAAACATTTTAAAACTAATAATTTTAAACATTGTTATTGCTATAAAGGGACATAGTTTGAAACCAGAAAACAGATGACCTTTCTTGTGTAGTGGTCATTTCATATTAATTTACCTACTAACTAGTAGCAGTATAAAGAATATTCGATTTTATTCTATTGGAAATCAGTAACTGTGATTCTGAAAGATAACTGCTAATATATCTGGTTTTGTAAGAGGAAGGAAAAAATGGTATTTTTTGATTCCGTCTTTGCAGTGTTTATCTTTAAAATGGCAATCAAATAGTCACTAAATTTTTTTTCTTCCATTTAAGGAACTGAGTACGTTTACCTAAAAGATAAAAAAAAAATCTAGGAATTTAAGATTACAGACTTGGTGTAGTCTGTTTTACAGTTGAAGCAACGGAGGTACAGAGGAACTGAGTTGCCTGAGGTTTCTAATGTTAGGGAATGCTTTATTTCATGGATTTCATAATTTAGTGAATTCACTACCTATTCCAATATATGAACACACTTATTCTGCTTTGGTGAGTGTTTATTGAAATTAGTATTGTTATTGGCACCCTGAAAGCTTTCGTTATATTCTTTTCTAATTATTCCCTTTCTGTATTGCTAGGGTGACCATTATCTTGATGTCTAAAATCCATAGATTAGCTCTGCCTATTTTAGAACTTTATTAAATTGAATCATATAATATGTGTTCCTCAGGTCATGTTATTTTTGTGAGGCTAATCTGTGTTTTTCTTTTTTTGCTTGGGGGATACGGAGTCTTGCTCTGTTGCCAGACTGGAGTTCAGTGGTGCGATCTCGGCTCACTGCAACCTCTGCCTCCCAGGTTCAAGTGATTCTCCTGCCTTAGCCTCCCGAGTAGCTGGGATTACAGGCACCCACTACGACGCCCGACTATTTTTTTTATTTTTAGTAGAGACAGGGTTTCACCATGTTGGCCAGGATGGTCTCGATCTCTTGACCTCACGATCTGCTTGCCTTGACATCCCAAAATGTTGGGATTACAGGTATGAGCCACCGCGCCTGGCCTAATCTGTTTTTCTATATAGAAGAGTTTATTCATTTTCATTGCTGTTGATTCTAATGTATGATGGATTTTTTTAGTTTTGCACTATTATGAATAATACTGATTCCTACATCTGTCTTTCGGTGCACATGTGCACACATTTCTGTCAAGTATGTATTTCTGGAAGTGGAAAAACTGGTCATAGCTATGACATGTTCAACTTTAGCAGTAATGCCTTATAGTTTTTCAAATTTGTGGTTCCAATTTCTACTCCTTTTAGCAGTGTGTGAGAGTGCCAGTTACTTCACATTCATTTATATGATTTGATTAAAATACTGCTATATTTGAAAAATTTTGTGCTCTTTTTTAATCTCTGAAGATGAGTATTTGATGATGAATAGCTACTTCTGCCTAAATGAGATACAGTGTAAAGGAATATGAGATAACAAATATAAACATTTTTAGTTCAAAAATGAATACCCATGTTGTGCCTGTTGGATTATAGCAGATTCTAACAGAACCCAGTTTTATGTTCTTGAAGATAAATGTCAAGGCATACAGTGTCTTTTCTTGATCCTTAAAAAAGTTTAGTTTTTAAAATAGAATGCAATTTAGGGAATATGGTGTGTGAAGAATGATAAAATACATATCTAAACTTTAATCAAAGAAATCTTATTGAATTATAGAGATTAAGAGAAAACTTTTATCAAGGTAAACTTGATAGCTATTAGGTGGAATGCACAGAATACTTTGAAATAAGTTCCTGGGGAAGAAGCGGGGGGTGGGGAAATTTGACAAAGATCTGTATTATTTTTGAGATTAATAGAAATTTGTCAGTAATGACCAAAGTCCCCAGGCCTACTGATAGGGGATATACATCATAAATAGAGCCTTAAGCTATTACTTTCTTAGTATTCCTTAGGTTGACGACTTCAGGAAGGGCACTAAGAGGCTAAATGATCTTAAGGTAGTGGGAAATTGGGTTTTATATCTTTATTTTATACCATTAGTAAGAAAAAATTTTAAATAATTTGTGATATTCTAAGAAAAGCAGATTTGAATTTCTCAAAGATTTGAGTGAAATCACATTTGGAGGATATAGTAGTGAAGATGTGTCAAGTTTGACTGAATTTGAAATGCTAAGTAAGTGGATTTGGTAAACATGAAATCACTGCGTAGAAACTTACATCTAGTATTAAGCTACTTTAAATGAATCAGAAAAAGAAGAAAAGCCATAGGGAAGAAAATTCAAGGTATGGTTTCATAGAAGTGAAGAAAATTTCCAGGAGGTGAAGGGGTTAATTGAACTGAGTTCAGAAGATTCTTAAAGCACTCAAAGCCTAAGTGGTATGTAATAAATGGGAACACATAGACAATTAGAGGCTTCATATAGAAGACAGAATTTGTGTTTAGCTTTTGTTGTCACTTTGGTTAGTGATAACTTTTCTTAGTGGTCAAAGATGGATTGAGAGAGCCATTTGGATTTGTCTAGGAGGTTGTTAGTTACCTTTGAAAGTACACATTTATGGGAACAAGCTACAGAGTACAAGAAGTTAACAAGTTAATAGGTATTTAGAAAATGGAGGCAGCAGATCACTTATTTTCAATATTTGGCATTTGATGGAAGAATAGAAATAGGATGATTCGGTTTTTACATTTGTGTTAAGGTAGGGAAGGTTGGTCTGCTGATGCTCAAAGGCAGAAGAGAAGCAAGCAATTGCAAAGAGGCAATTAAAGATCCTGGAAAGGGGGACTGTGGGAGGGCATAAGTCTTTTTGAAAGGCTAGATGGAATGTTTTTTTGAGGTAAACGATCTGTCTTTGGAAAAGAGCCATGTTTTCTAAGAATAGCTGGAAGAAAAAGGACATAGATACAAAGATAGATATAGTGCTTCCTTCTGAAAAGATGGTTATTTAGTAAATTTCAGCAGGAAAATCTCAGAAAACAAATTGTCCTTAGGTAAGAATGGGGAAGTTAGGACTGAAGGCTTGAGGGGAGAGAACATAAAATAGCTACAGTGAGATAGCCTAGTAACAGAGGAATATATTTTAAAATTTCTAAGGCAAAAGAAGGGCTATATTGAAGGTAAAGTGTATAAATTAATATTAACCTTGTATTAATAAGGTGCTAGTCATATAATAAATACTACAAATATAAATAGTCAGAAAATGTTAATTTAATTGAACCAAGGATTGACAATAAAATTACAGTGGTGATGGTAATACAGTATGGTAGGTTGAATGAATGAAAAAAGTCACAAGAGTATTGAAGGTGATAAGAGAACAGTATTGGAGATTATTTAAGGCAAAATAATCTGAGGAGGTCTGGAGAAGCCTGTTGATCATGGGAAAGTTTAAATGACTGTATGCTCTTGGGAAAGCAGAAAAGAGATGCTGGCGGTGACTGATATGAGAGGGAAAGCTACGTTTGGTTAAGCACTTACAACTGTATTTTGAGCATATTCTTTCAAAATCCTGTGACAACTCTGCAAAGTAGGTGGTAATGATAATCAACCTGAGTCGCAGTCTTTAACTCTTCTATTTAAAGCCTTCGAAAATAATGCATCTGGGTGATACAGTGGCTCACATCTGTAATCCCAGCACTTTGGGAGGCTGAGGTGGGTGGATTGCTTGAGCCTAGGGGTTCCACACCAGCCTGGACAACATGGCAAAACCCTGACTCTACAAAAAAAACAAAAATAAAAATTAGCCAGGTGTGGTGGTGCGTAGTTCCAGGTACTCTGGAGGCTGAGGTGGGAGAATTGCTTGAGCCCAGGAGGCAGAGATTGCAGTGAACTGAGATGGACCACTACACTCCAACGTGGGCAACATCAAGACTGTGTCTTAAGAAAAAGAAAAATTCTGCATTTAAGTTAATTTTCTATTTTTAATATTAATTGAAATTTAGCATTAGAATAAATACTTAGGCCGGGTGTGGTGGCTCATGCCCATGATCCAGGTACTTTGGGAGGCTGAGGTGGGTGGATCACTTGAGGCCAGGTGTTCGAGACCAGCCTGGCCAACGTGGCGAAACCCCATCTAAAACTAAAAATACAAAAGGTTAGCCGGGTGTGGTGGCACGCGCCTGTAATCCCAGCTATAGAGGTTGCAGTGAGCTGAGATCATGCCACTGCACTCCTGCCTAGGCGACAGAGCACAACTCTGTCTCAAAAAAAAAAAAAAATTTAAACTTGATTTTGTTTGGGTGTAATGTTCAGGACCACTTTAATTAAACAACTAGACCTGACTCAGTGGCAACTGGGAAATTTGTCATCTATTTTCAGTATCAGCCCAAAATTAGTTACCCTCAATCAGTTTTTATCATGATTAGAGATGAGATTGTATTTGTTTGAGACAGAGTCTTGCTCATCTCCGGTGCTGGAGCGCAGTAGCATAGATCATAGCTCACTGCATCCTCAACCTTTTGAGCTCCAGGGATTCCCTAACCTCAGCCTCCCAAGTCACTGGGACCACAGGCATATGCCAACACACCTGGCTAATATTTAAAAAATGTTTTGGAGAGACTGGGTCTTGCTATGTTGCCTAGGCTGGTCTTGAACTCCTGGGCTGAAGTGATTCTACAGCCTTGGAATCCCAAAGTGGAGATTATGTTTTTAAGAGTTTTCCTTTTTGTGACATGCAAAGCAAGACTAAAAAGTGAGAGTGCCAACAAAGTAAATAATTTAGTAAATGGCTATCTGCAGAGGGAGATGTTAGTAAGCAAGCATTAGATGAGTGCCATTTAGCTTTGTCCTTTTGCTTATGTCCTTTGGTTTAAATTATTTTAAACCAAAGATTTCTTTGTTTTTTAAAAACCTTACATGAAAGCTCAATTTGTAAAATAAAACCAAAATATTCAGGATGAGAGCTTATTGGGAGGAAATGGAGGGAAAGAAGGCCTAAGTCCTCTCTTCATTTGGATGGTTAAAGATTACCCAGTACTCCGAGAAGCCCAATTTGAAAACACAGAATGTTTACGCAGTGTTTTATGTGTATTATTTTACAGTCATTTTTTTGAGACCAGTACTGTTATAATCCCCATTTACAGATGAAGAACTGAGCTTCAAAATGATTGTCTTGCCTAGGATTACATAGCTGGTAAGTGATGAAGTCAGGATTCCAGCCTTGCCATTCTGTTTCCAGAGCCTGTAAAACTACGCTATAGGATCCCTTGTAGAATTCCTTTTCGATGAAAGTAGGATTCTTTCACTGAGGGACATGTGAGAATTAAAGTTTAAATTGGATTACTGGGGCTTTAAAAAATTTGTAAAAATATCCATAGCCAAGTTAATAATTTTAACTAAGTGTACAGTTCAGTGGGGGCATTCTTAAAGTCATGAAAATGGTATGTTGTTGCTTAATGCTTTTGAATCTTAACTTTTAGAATAATGTAAGGATTGAGGAGTTTAGTTATTTTTTTATGTCATGGCATTATTGAATTCCTAAAAGCATATGAGTATTTACTATGTGACAGGAATTAAATTAGTAGATGTTAGGGATACAAAGATATTCAAATAAGAAGCAACCTCTGCACTCATCTTGTTTAGTAGGAAAAACAGACATGTAGACCAAGAATGATAAAATAGTGTGTAAAATATGGAATACAAAAAAAATGAGTGTATAATAGCTTGAAATGTTTGAGTGTGTAAAGGCTTCCCAAAGATGGTACCTGAGTTCAATCGTGAAGATATTACTTTGTTAAGAGGAAGGCTGGTGGAAGGGGTGATGGTGTAGGCATAGAGAACATATTAATGTGTAGTGGAAATATAGATTACCTATGAGAGTAGCAAATAAGAGTGGAGAGGCATTGATAACTTTAGGGAAGGAATAAAATAGCAAGTATATACGTTGAGAGGGCAAAGATAAATTTAGGTATCATAAAATATGATATAGATTGGGATAACATTTTTAAATTTTTTAATGAAAATACATTCAATACTATTAGATATAGCAGGCTTGGATCTTGGTAATATTTCAGTAAGTTGACAAAGAATCTTAATCTATGTTTTTAATTTTATAGGTTGATGAGAGGGAAATAGATAATTTTTGAGTACTTACTATGTTTTAGGACTTTGAACATATATATTTTTTCTTCTTTGAGATGGAGTTTCATCATGTCACCCGGGCTGGTCTCAAACTTTTGGGCTCAAGAGATCTGCCTGCCTTGCCCTCCCAAAGTGCTAGGATTACAGACGTGAGCCCCTGTGCCCATCCCGAATATTTTCTTTCTGAACTCTGCAACCTTTCTAAACCCTGTGATGTAGACAGACTGAGGTTTGTTTGTTTTTTGTAGAGATGGGACTGTGTTGCCTAGGCTGATCTCGAGCTTCTGCCCTCAAGCAATCCTCCCACCTCAGCCTCCCAAAGAGCTGGGATTACAGGCATGAGCCACTGTGCCCAGCTTAGACTGAGAGGTTTTAAGAACTACTCAGCGTTACACAGCTTAGAATTAACAGTTAGAATTTGAATCCACACCTAAGCTCCTTCAGCTATGTCATGACTGGCTCATATTTGCCAGATATTTGTCTAATTGATTGGTGAATCTAATTTATTTTCTAATTAAACAGTCACATGTTGTCTTAGTCCATTTTATGTTGCTATAACAATACAACAGACTGGTTGATTTATACAGAAAAGAAATTTATTACGGTTTTGGAGGCTGGGAAGTCCAAGGTCAAGAGACCTGCATCTGGTATATAAGATGCCTTACAAGCATTCACAAGAAGGCCCTCTGATGCAAGGCCTTCTGCTGCATCATCCTGTAGTAGAAGGCAGAGGGGGAAGAGAGCAAGATGTGACTGAATTTGATTTTCTTTTTTGTAACAAGCCCACTCTTGATAACTAACCTACTCCTGTGATAACATTAATCCATTCATGAGGGCAGAGGCCTCATGACCTAATCACCTCTTATTAGGCCCCACCTCAAAACATTGTTGCTTTGAGGACTGAGTTTCCAACACCTAAACTTTGGGGGACATATTCAAACTATAGCGAGTGTATAGATAATGCAGTTGGATTATCAGAAACATGTCAAAGATACATAGAGCAGAGTTACAGATGGGGCTTAATAAAGTAGTATACACATAGAATACGTGGCATTAAAGCCCCTTATGTGGGCTTTCCTAATGATTTTATTTATTTATTATTTTATTTTATTTATTTTATTTTATTTTATTTTGGAGGCGGAGACTCGCTCTGTCGCCCATGCTGGAATGCAGAGGTGTGTTCACGCCATTCTCCTGCCTCAGCCGCCCGGGTTCATGCCATTCTCCTGCCTCAGCCTCCCCAGTAGCTGGGACTACAGGCCCCGCCACCACGCCCGGCTAATTTTTTGTGTTTTTAGTAGAGACGGGTTTTCACTGTGTTGGCCAGCATGGTCTCTATCTCCTGGCCTCAGGATCCACCCACCTAGGCCTCCCAAAGTGCTGGGATTACAGGCGTGAGCCACCGCGCCCAGCCTCATAATGATTTTATATATTTTACATTAATAGAACACCTAAGGATTTGCTAATTAGCTACTGAAAATAATTTAGAAGGATACTTCTGGATAAATATTACAAGTTGGATTATTTTTCTTTTAGCTTCTGATTTTTGCTAGGACTCATGCTGTTACATGTTAAGGTCATATTAGACTGAAAAATAAAAGAATGAGGTCAGTGATACTCCCACAATTAATGTAATGACCTTTTTCAGCATTTAAAAAATTTTTCCTTATTCTTGCCCATTACGCAAACATTTTTTTTTTTAAGGGATTTTAGGCGTAGGACATTATGAATGATCTCCTGAAGTGGGGGGAAAAATAGCATGATATCTTTTGTAAATCAAAAAAAAAATTTAATTAAATCTCAGGTAAGTTTTTGTTTTTAGATATGGAGCTTACTGCTTCATAGCTTTTTTGCATTTATTCTATAATCAGGATGAAGCTTTCCTCCCAATGAAGCTTATGTCTGTGTTTTGGTTAGGGTAGTGGTGGTGTTTTAACTCTTTTCTTGGGAGACTATGAAGGTTTTAAATTTCTGAATATAAATATAAAAAATAACCCAAAGTGTAGAGTATAAGACACCTTTACAAGCATCCAATTAAAACTTGTCATTGATGAGGAAACAGGGCCAGAGTTGAATATGTTGTCACATATTCAGTTACTACCAGAGGTTAGAATTTTGGTCCCTGATAAGAAAACAACAATTCTAATAAGTTTTAATTTATGTTTTGGGGTAGTAAAATTTCTCTCTTGGAACCTTTTGTCCTACTTTAAAAATGTCTGTTGTGGCCTGGGAAACATAGTGAGACCCTGTCTACAAATATATATATATAATTTTTTTTTTTTTTTTAAGATGGAGTCTGGCTCTGTTGCCCAGGCTGGAGTGCAGTGGCACTATCTTGGCTCACCACAACCTCTGCGTCCCAGGTTGAAGCGATTCTCCCGCCTCAGCCTCCCGAGTAGCTAAGACTACAGGCGCCCACAATGCCCAGCAAATTTTTGTATTTTTAGTAGAGACGGGGTTTCATTATGTAGGCCAGGCTGATCTTGAACTCCTGACCTCATGATTCGCCTGCCTCAGCCTCTCGAAATGCTGGGATTACAGGTGTGAGCCACAACGCCTGGCCTACAAAATATTTTTTATAATTAGCCAGGCATGGTGGCACATGCCTTTAGTCTCAGCTACTCCGGAGGCAGAGGTGGGAGGTTCACTTGAGTGCAGGAAGTCAAGGCTACAGTGAGCTATGATCATACGACTGTACTCCAGCCTGGGCAACAAAACAAGACCCTGTCTCAAGAAAAAAAAAAAAGTTCATTTAGAATTGTAAGTAATGATTAAGTCAATTAAGCAAAGATATATTATATGTCCATATAAAAGAATTACTTTCAGAATACTTTGGTTAGAAGTTTTCTAAGCAGGTTGAGCGCAGTGGCTCATGCCTGTAATCCCAGCACTTGTTTTGTTTGTTTGTTTGTTGTTGTTGTTTGTTTGTTTGAGACGGAGTTTAGCTCTTTTTGCCCAGGCTGGAGGGCAATGGTGCTATCTCAGCTCACTGCAACCTCCGCCTCCCAGGTTCAAGTGATTCTCCTGCCTCAACCTCCCTTGTAGCTGGGATTATAGGCATGCACCACCATGCCTTGCTAATTTTGTATCTTTAGTAGAAATGGGATTTCTCCATGTTGATCAGGCTGGTCTCGAACTACCGACCTCAGGTGACCCGTCCGCCTCAAGGCCTTTCAAAGTGCTGGGATTACAGGCGTGAGCCACCACGCCCGGCCAATCCCAGCACTTTAGGAGGCTGAGACAGGTGGATCACCTGAGGTCAGGAATATGAGACCAGCCTGGCCAACATGGCGAAACCCTGTCTCTACTAAAAATACAAAATTAGCTGAGCGTGGTGGAGGGCACCTGTAATTCCAGCTACTCAGGAGGCTGAGACAGGAGAATTGCTTGAACCCAGGAGGCAGAGGTTGCAGTGAGCCGGGATTGCACCATTAGCCTGGGTGACAAGAGCAAAACTCCATCTTAAAAAAAAAAATTTTCTAAACAGTATAGGGCTGGCTGAAAATTGGGTCACAGTTTGGGATTTGCTATCCAGACATCTTGTACTCTACCTTTTTAAAAATAGCTAAGTATACGCCAAAACCAAGATTCTATAATAGAGCATATTTCATCTTCATGAAAAAACAATAGTACGTGGGCCATAATATACGTATAACGGAATATTAGCCTTAAGAAGGAAAGATACTCTGACACATGCTAGCTACAACATGGAAGAACCTTCAGGACGTTATGCTAAGTGAAACAGACCAGTCACAAAAAGAGAAATCCTGTATGATTGTACTTATATGAGTTGTCTAGAGTTGTCATGTTCATGGAAATGACAGTAGATGGTGATTGCCAGGAGTAAGGGTTAAGAGAAGTGGTGGGTAATGGGTATAGAGTTAAAATTTTATGGTTGGGCGCAGTGGTTCACACCTGTAATCCCAGCACTTTGCGAGGCCGAGGCGGGCGGATCACAAGGTCAGGAGTTTGAGACCAGCCTGAGCAAAATGGTGAAACCCTGTCTCTACTAAAAATAAAAAAAAATTTAGTCAGGCATGGTGACGGGTGCCT